TTAAAAATAAAACCTCGATGTAGTCTATCTAATATGTCCTGCAAAAATTTAAAACAATAGGAACATGTTCCACCTTTGATGCTACTCATTCTTGCACTTAAGGCGAGCAACCTTTTTCTACCCCAATGGCCAAATTGGATTGAATAATGCGGATTTTCCGTTTATTAAAAATACCAGTAATATAATTAAAGGATATTATGTTTCGTTGAATACGGATTTACGGAGTATATTTTCACGAAATATGCTAAAATTCCATACATGTTTTCACGAGCCGAAACGTCATCAATGATACTAAAAACAACAAAGACATCTGTGTTAAAAAACAGCAAATTTAACCGTGAAACAGAGGAATGTACAAAAAGCTTGTAGTATGACAAATACCAAAAATATTTCCACACAACATGCTGTTGAGAAAATTGTACTTTCCATTAAAGAAATTATGTTTATATACAGTAGAAACAGAACATTGGAAGCATTATAGTGTTTCATACACTGTTAGTTTAAAATAATATATAATTAAACTCCAGGTAGTTATTTTGCTCTCGCCATGTCATTCAGATGTGTGAAAATTGCTCACATAAAAAATCAATCTGCGTGGGCTCTGGCTAAATTTTACAGTACTATGTTATTACTGTGGATACGATTATAACATTCGTAATAACCACTCTAAAATTTAACAAGCTTTCCACTATTTCACTCTACCCCTCTGTAATGTGGTGGTGGTGTTGGTAGTGTACCGTCCGGAACACGGCAGCAAGCCAAATTGAATTGACCAGAGCACAGATCAGCCATTCCATTGTTCCTGGGCAGGCTGTCAAGCAGTTTACCAGTACTAGTTGCCTTCACTTCCACAAGGAACTGAAACTTCTGTACATGTCAGAGCAAAGGTACAGTGCGAATGACCGAAGAAAGGTTTTCATGATCAATCACAACGAAAATGACTGGCACAAATAAAGTTCGTAAGTTTGCAAATGCATTAATAACTTCCCGAAATATTCAAGGAAATATATATTTTTAATACATTTTCAAATATGAAAGTGAGATAACTTTGTGAAATCAAAAGTCTGAGTTATGGGGGATGATGATATGTGAATTGAACTTTTGCGTCTCAAAATAAGTTGCAAGTTTTAAAAAATCTTAAGGGATATGGACAGGGTACACTTAATTAACAACAAACATAAATCAACACATGATAAATATTGCCTAAAAAGTTACATCTTTACATTTCATTGTTTTCAAATAATAGTAAAACTTAATAAACCTAAAAAAAGAAATATGACTGTAGAAAGAAAGAAATCACAAAAAAACCATTAAATGAGTGTGTGTTTAGTTTTGTTTATACTGAGCGCCGGTTTCCCATATGTCCCAGACTATTTGCCTCGGTTACGACTCCGATCGTCAATGATCGTAGAGCCTGCAACGGAGGTCTTCTTATGCCGTCTTTCGTCGTAGATCTTCTCTAGGACCCAGTTTTTCCGATCTTTTGAACGCAGTAGACAATATAGAGGAAAGGCACCTCTTCCGGGAGCAGCAGCTCTTTGTAGAACAACACCCTTCGTCGTTGGTTAGGTCACAACAGCTAAATAACCTAACTAGGTCACCATCTGGTGTGACCTATGCCTTCCGAGTGGCGTGCACGCCGCGAAGGGAAGTCGGAAGAAGAATAAATGAACGACATCTTATAAGTATTTCATCACATCATAAATTCTAAAATGAATTTCACGCATCTCTGTTTCATAGATATATCACATATCGACCGTTATATATCTTCACGGCGCTATACTGGTACTCGTCACAATATAATAGTCAACCTTTTTGCGCGTATTTTCGAAACTTTAACTGTTAACTTCAGTATAAAACAATGTTGTCTTTGTCCTATAGGAATATTGTCAATTCTAAATGGATAACATTTGTGAAAGAAACGCTTAGTAATCTTGGTATGTTAGAATATTTTCATTTAATATTAATCACTTTAAAAATATTGTGAAGCTTAGACAAAATGATCATTTTTTTACAATATTGGCATAAACTATTGATACATCTTACTGCTTAGTGTATCGTACATATAATAATACTCATTGTTTTGAAAAATATCTAAATGTACTTAAATTTGACATAGGCAAATTTAGAACAATGAATCACTTACCAATTGAAAAAGGCAGATATTTGGTAATTGGTCATAATAATAGGCTCTGTCCTTATGTCCGTATCAAACTATTGGTAATGAATTTCGATAATTATTTGAAAGATCATACTTTAATTAAATTAGACGTAAATCTCTTCTTCCCAAGTTTTATTTTCATCCCAATAAATTTAAACTTGACAGATCAATGAATAGTTGTAATAAAAAATTCTACTAAAACTATCTTAATTTTGTAAAAACATTATCTTAAAATTTAGATAATGAACAGTTCTCATTCTCTATTCCCATTTGTTACAATGTAAAATACGTGACGTATTAAATTAAATTCAGTAGTTGAATTGAACAATATGATCTCCTATTTTTATTTATTTAGCTAGTCATAATTGTATTCTTTTATTGTGATATTAGTTGATTTTTGACTGTTATTTTCTGTTCCTTTGTTTATTATAACCAGTTGCATATGTTATGCCTTGGTTAAATAAAAATTGAAACTGAAAAGTTTGTTTATACCCCCGGAATAGCTGGAAACAAAAACAAACAAAAATAATCTTAATTCCGGTGTAAGTCATTCTGCATGTGGAACTAGGCTATACGCCACATTGAAATCATCAACACTAGTTCTGATTAAATTTAAGAACAAAATCTTAAACCATATTAACAAAAAAGCGATTGTGAAAAGTGTTGCATAAGCGCCATTTTTATTTGATTTCAAACTTTTTGCTTGCATAGTAACCATATTTCTTGAACAACAAGAATGTCTTTAAAACGATACTCGGCCGAAGTAAATCTGTTTAACCTGCAAAATTATGTTGTTTCTAAGTTTTCAAAAAAAAAAGAAATGTTGATCATTTCTTGTAGCTATTAAAAATACCCTATCCTCTATTTATCTTAAAGTGGCAAAACCATCACTTATATTTTATCATAGAGCTGTCGTTAAAATTTTATTTAAGAATGGTAAGAACTATCCTTTACATTTTATTGTAGAATGCTTAGAACTGTCCTTTTAGAATGACTAATGAGATTCGCCGACTGTAGTTTGCAATTTTTGAAATAACCAATGAAAATTTATCTTATATTCAGTCATTCCCTGTTAATTTTATAGGAAGTCAAACTGATAACCGAAAAATGTGCATTCAATTAATACTGTCATATGTATTATGAAAAGTGTTTTAATAATCGCAGGTTCCAGTTTATTGTGGATTTCAAGTCTATTTCGGTGCCAAAGCAACCAAATATCGCAACAGAGGAAGAATTGAACATAGTGTGCTTAATCTCAATACGGTCAACCGTCATTAATGCAGGTTTTAAGTTTCTTGTAAATATACATACTTTTCTCATTTAATATTTGTTACCGCCATTTTGCTTGTGGCAACGGACATTGTAAAAATGTGTATGCCTTTTGAAATAAAATCTTGAAAATCTTGAATTTTATTCCAAGAACCTTTTAATTGTGTCCAGTTGACATTAGATGTATCCCCTGTTCTTCATCCCATTGTCCATTTAATCACCTATAACACTTATAACCAACCATAAACCTCTTGTGAAAGAAATATCATCAAAGAAATGTTTTCTGTAGCCTATAATTCACATAGCCACCTAAAACCCAAATGTAAGCATGGACAGACATACAGACAGACAGACAGACAGACGTACGCAGGGCAAATCTTTCAGCCTCTCCAGGGACAGGTAGGGTACTAAAGAAAAAAGCGTTTTGACTCTTGGGAGAGTGTGTAATATTTACTAGTTACAGTACATGGGCCCGTTTGAATATCAAATCAACATCAGAATAGTTCATTCCCCATTTACAATGTATAATTCATATAAAGTATGCATTACGGAAATGAAAAATATAATGTGTGTGTGTGTGCGTGCGTGCGTGCGTGCGTGTGCGTGTGTGTGTGTGTTTTTTTTTTTTACTTTTGTAAAAGTTACTCATTGGCCATATATACTAGTAGCTGAACCGTCTCTTGCAAGAGTTATGTTCACTAACCATGGATTTTTGCCCAATACTTTGGCAAAAATAATTTGATGCAATTTCTTGTTTTTAGAATTTATTTATAAGTTTAATCCTTAAAGTGTTCAAAACATATAAATTTTTAGGCATTTGTTTACATTTAGTATGCTTTATGTTCTATGGAAATACCCCTATTTCCAGCAAAATTAGGAAAATTAACGTATTTTTGGTGTTGTAAACTAAAAATTAAAGTATCACCACAGTCAAGCCCCAACAAAATCATAACACCATTGTTTTGTTATATATCAAAGGCTTCAACTATATAAATATAAAGTTGGGGCTTGCCTGTGCTCTATTCCAAAATAAGATTTTTATCTAATATCTAAACGTCATTTTCTGACATTTATTTCATTAAATGCAAACCATTGAGCATGTATACTGCACTCAACATTATTAATTTTTGGTCCAAGTTGTTGAAATATGATTTATAACATATATTTTAATATATAATTATTAATTACTAATAACTAATAATTATTAATAACAGTTATAATGCTTTGTTTATATTTTCCTATTTCACATTTTAAGCATCTCTTGTGCTTATAATTCATAATTATATAAAACACTAACAACATGTTTGCCCTTTCTAAAGAAAAAAGATAATTATGAGCTTTTTAACTAAACCGATGAGAAAGGACGGAGTTTTTATACCAAATCTTACATGCTGAATTTGACGAACTCAAACCGTGATTAAGAAATTGTTCAGAATGGTTTAATTATTACTTATTACGGAAGTGGCCGATTGATATTTATGAAAAGCTTCAAACGCCAAGCTATGACTACTTTACGAAAATGGTTTAACCTATTCAACCATTATCAAAATGAATGTATAAATAAGTCTGATTTGGATTTTTTTTTTCAGTTTTATTTTCTGTCCAACATAACAATAATAAATAACATGTACATATTTGTAGAACTGTTGCTGTCTGATCAAAATACATCTAGGCTGTGTGGTGATAATAGGAACATCTTTATACTTAGAACCAGGTAAAATTCTGTAAAACAAATAATAGTGAAAATATTAATCAGTAAGTCCATGCCAATGCCAATAGAAGAAAAAAGTTTAAAAACTTTGATACATTTCAAGATAAACAGAAGCCAAATTTTAAATGCCTAAATATATGTTAGATATTTGTTACTATAGAAAACATAAGATAGTAGCGAAACGTTTTTGAAAGGCATATCTTATGTATACATTTGTATTTAGAAAAAAAGGAGTTCATTTCATCGTCTACCAGATCGGATATGAATTATGCAAAAAGTAACATTCAAGTTTAATCTCTAATTCACTTGTTGCTATATATCAAACACCTGTTAATACACGATCATATAAAGTGTGAAGTCTTTAAAATAAAAATAAGAAATAAATTTGCAGCAGCAGTGTATATTTATAATATAAATACTACAATTGTCCTATGTAAATTGCCGTTACAAACGTGCATTTAATTGAACATTTATACTTACTCATTATAGTTTATTTTCCAGAAACTGTTGAGTTGATGAGAACAATCTGGTCTTGGTTGGCGTTGGTGTTGAACAATTGTGGGAGAAGGAACAACAAGAAGAACAGGGGCACTGAAATTGTCAAAAGTAATATGTATATGTTGCGTACTTGTACTTACATGTTTAAATTACTAGTAAAAATCATAGATATGTTAATACATGGCTATGTGCGTTACTCAAAAAAGTGCCATGATGGCGGAATTCTGCGCAGAGAAGTAAATTGCATGCTTCAAAATTTTGAAACGGAACGTAATTAAGATTTTAAAAGAAGTGCATGCACATATATTTATTGAACAATAATTCTATCGTAATTATGAAGACTTACAGATGGACATGCCAAGACCTCCAGCGGCCTTTGGTGCAGCTGGAACTGGAATGTATGCAGCCTGTGCCATTCCTTTGCCGTAGCTAGATCCGTAGCTAGATCCGTAGCCCATACCGTATCCAGCACCGTATCCACTGCCGTATCCAGCACCGTAGCTTGGACCGTATCCACCGCCGATACCTCCGCTGATATGTCCGATACCGCCAAGTGAAGCACCGCCAAATGAAGCGCCACCGAACGATGCACCGCCGAACCCGTCATCATTTCCCCATCCGTTGTTGTCATTTCCCCATCCGTTGTTGTTGTTCCAGTTATTGAATCTTTCGTCGGCAAAGACCATTCCGACGACGGCGGTCAAAGCGACGGTGACGAAAATTGTAATCTTCATATTTATTCTGAAAATTAAAAATGATATTGATATATCTAAATATTTTTGTTGTATACATGTAAAAAAGAGCGCTTTTGAGGCATAATATTCGTTTAATATTTTACTAGATAAAATGACAATTCTGTCATTTTAATGACAATATGATAGTTTCAACTGCATTTGAATTTTTATTATATAAAAGAAAGCATTTTTTAAACGCAATTATTGATTATGTAACCTATCATATACAGTGTACTGATTTTCAAGGGAAAAATCTTTTGAATTAAATACGAAATACTATTTAGAAAAGCTAAGTGGATGTTAATGTATTTAGTCAAAATTTCATTAACATTTTTTCTGTCTCTAATTTTTTTCAATGAATTTATGAAGAATTTTTTAAAATGTGAAAATATTAATATAAAAGTACTTACGATGTTTTTAGTTTGACTATCTGGAGCAGATGTGATTTTGATTTGAGTTGTTTCAATTTTTATAGCTGATACATGATGTATCTCGTGTTCCGGAAGTGATATAACAGTCTACCCATACCCTTCACATATCCGGACATGGTGGATGGTTACAGCATAATTTGTTGTGTATTGACAGAGTTACACCTCGAGGGCATTTGAATTGAGTTTCAATTGAATTTTGAATTTCATCGCTCACCGAAAATAACCTATCTTAAAATATTATAGTTAAGGTAGATATATTGATACTTAATTTCATTTCCTCCACACGGGAGAGCATAACATATTAACAATAGGCACAACAATAATGACATCTTAAACAAACAACAATATTTGATACTTAAAACTTCTGTGAAACGATTTAATTAATCGGTGATTTCCTGGTACTTGTATATTTATATTGTATTCAATAGATGTCTCCAGTAGATAATAAACACACGTTTTATTATAAAAATGGAAAACAAGCATGGTATTTATATCAAACTTAAATCATAATATCATATTCTTTAAAGGATGTTTCTTTTATAGAGAAAATCTATTATAAGAAAAAAAAACAATGAATATAATCTGATATTATTCTAGTATGTTTTATTTACAAAAAATAACTTCTTAGCCAATCAGAGAAACGCATTTCAAAGCTATTTATAGATTACGTTCTGTGGATTGTAAATTCCTAGACACTTTGGGAAAAAGTAGGCGTTTTAAAACCTCCTTATCCTCTTTTGGTATAGTAAAATCGTTTATTCCAACCGACGCAAATATCACTCAAAGCATAAACATATACATCAAAATTTAAGAAACATCTATCTGATACCATACTGGAAAAAAACTCCAGCAAATTTGTCAGTTTTTATAGCCATAGCGGAAATTTCTGCTCGATTGGGATTTGTTTTAAAAGATGGGAAAGAAAGAAGAAACATATATATTTGCCATTGGAAGTGTACCTGGTGGTGACTCTGGGAAAAGGCATGAACTTATTTTTTATATTGTGATTAAAGTGATAAAGAAAACAAAGAATGATAGTAATTTATCAGTACATGTTTATTTTATTGAAGGCAAGTGTAATATCCAGGAAAATGCTGCAAAACCTACTTAAGTAGCTCAGCAGAATTGTTTGTTCGTAGACATTTAATTATGAATACGTACGATATACCTGTATTGTAAATTACATAGACATTCTATGTTACAAATCTTTTAAGAAACGGCCAAATAGATCTGAGAATAACAGAAATTTACTGTCTTTTTTGAAGTTTTATAAAATATTTCATCAGATGTAGCTTTACACATTTTAAAGGATATATATTCGTTAAGGAAATAAAAAAATGATATTACCGGTTATTATTAGACGCATAAGAAACAAATGGCACATAATTATTCTAGTACCTGCACATTGCAGGCCTGTAAACTTTGTCAAATTTAATTGTTTCTTTAAAGTGGTTTCATTGTCCAAAAACATAAAATTTGAATTTCTTCAAAAATTAAAACGATAATTAGCCCGAGTTAAAACGTTTAATTGGGTAATTTTTAACAATTCATATAAATACTTTTGGAAAAAACTGATTGATCAGATGATCGGAAATTTTGCACACAAGTTATCGTCTCGATTTTCATAAAATTGTACATTAATTTTAGACAAGCATCACTGAGATGCCAGTCAGGCATTATGTGGCTTCACTTTAAAAATAAAGTGTCATCTATCAAGGACTGATCGGTCATGCAAACTGCAAATGTCTTGAAGCAAAGAAGGTCGTTTCTTCAGAAAATTATAAATTGGAAATGACGTCGTCCCGACAAATGGTGTTTTTGTTGTTTGTTTTTTTCTTTACTACACATTGTTTAGTTGGAAAAAGAGGCAGTTCATTCACGATAAAAGTATCGGGAATAGGCAACTTTTAAAAGGCAAATGGCGTCTCATGGGGAAGGGAGGTAACGCCATTTCAAAGTTAAGTCCATCTAATTATCTCCTGAAAAGTAATTCTTTCACAAATTAATGGGAAGGATCAACTGCCCTTTATATTACAATTGACATTTTGAGGGAAGAGGGGGTAACTCTTCATTTAACACAGTCTTGAATTATTATTACCTTAAAATGGCCAATGGCATCTTTATACTGAGATAGGTAACTCCTGTTTTTTTGTCTTAATACTTACTTTAGTAATGAAAATGATTTTATAAAAAAACAACAATAAAACTATCACTTCAAGGATAGGATATGATGCCTGAGTTATAAACCATATTTCTTGAAGATTGAAATGTTAATCACGAAGCAACCCTAATACAATATATACAATTATATAGCTTAGAGACATGCTCAGATAGTCTTTTTCTATGACGTATCTTTTACATTGCTTGTACATTCTAACACCAGATTGACCTGTCTTAAACAATCCGCTTTATTGCTACGTGCTACCTGAGCTAGGAAAGACAAGAAATTGCATATTAATTGTCTATGTATACTGATCAGGTGGGGATTAAACCCAGTGACCTCCAGTAGCCATGTCAAACAAAACAAGAGTGATCAGTGGTCACATGGGTTGTCTCATGATAACCAATTGCATGTTGAAGCTACTGTGCAGCAGGAGACACAAAATCATTTACAGGGCAAAACGCGTTTTTATTAAAGGGCCATAACTCGGCCCAAAATCATTCAACTGGAAAACCTATGTAATATGCGCACATACTTGAGCTACCGATAAATCCTGTAAAGTTGCACAGAAATTTCATTAGTGGTATAAGATGAGTAGTTTGGAAAAATAAATCAAAAATAAACATCTATAGAGGGGCATAACGAAATCAGTGAACCAGAAAATGACGATGAAATGCACAACTAAACTTGATATCGATTATTTCTGATAAGTCTAGATGAAAATGCACCAGTAATTTCTGAGGAGTAGTCCAGACAAGGTTCTGTGTAGCTGGCAACACAAAAAGCACCTTTTTATTCAAGGGCCATAACTGAGCTAATAATTATTCAAGTTGAAAACCCGTGCAATACGCGCAAGTACTTCAGCTATCGTTCAATTCAGTAAAGTTTCACTGAAATTGCATGGGTGATATAACAGGAGTAATCCGGACAACATTATTAACACCTTTATTATTGCAATAGTGGTATAAGAGAAGTAGTCCATACAAATTTTAAAAATAAAAATCATAAAAGGACCATAACTCTGACAACAAGAGC